CGGCGGTAGCGACAGCAGTGCCGGCAGCGGCCTCTGCAGCTACGGCAGCGAGGCTAGCAGTGTAGGCCCGAGGGCGGCGGCGGCCGTTGCCGCGGCGACGGCAGCAGCAGCTGCCGCCGCTGCTGGCGGGCTTTTGTCTGCGCCCGCAATGGCCGCCTCCTCGACCAGTCCGGACGTGCGCGTCTCGCCCGGCGGCTGCGAGGCGCCGCTCGAAGCGGTCACGTTGGCCGCCAACGCGGCAGTCGTGTCGGCCGCGGTTGCGGCCGCAGAGTCAGGCGTGACGGCAGCCGCATTGTTTGCCGTCGCCCAACACCACCAGCACCATCAACAGCCGCTGCACCAACAGCCGCACCAGCCGCACCAGCAGCATCGGCCGCACGGCCAGCCGACGAGTGCGTACGAGGCGGCGCTGTGCGCGCCCGCTTTCGCCGGTCTGCCCGGCCTGCCCGGTCAGCCAATCACGTCACACGCCCAGATTGCATATCCGGGCCTGGCGTCAGGCCCGCCAGGACTGGGCCTTGACGGCACGGCTGCCTTCGGCCTGTCGCAGCAGCAGCCGCCGCCGCCGCCGCCGCCGCCGCCGCCGCCACTGCAGCCGCACCCGCACGCCCACATGCACGCACACCCTCAGCTGCACTCACACTCACAGTCGCACGTGTTCACGCACGCGCAAATGCACACGCATCCCTTCCTGCTCGGTCAGACGCACGCGTCGCCGCCGGCCCACGTGTTCACCGGCGGCCAAGCGGTCACTGCCGCTCCGTTCGAATCGAGCCTCCAGCCGGCCTCAGTCTATCCACTCACTGCCGTCTGCGCCTCGGGCCGCACATACTCTCCAGGCCTGCCGCCCGTCTATCCACCCTCTCCGCGAACGGCCGCGGCCGCCACGCCCACTTCCAACAGGCCGACGCCCACGCCCACGCCCAGTCTGTCCGGTCTGCCCACCGGCCGCCTCTCGCAAGTCGCCTCCACGCCCAGCCGCCACTACGATTCGATCGGCTCCAGCCACGCCCACAACAGCCACGACAGCAGCGCCAGCAGCAGCACCAGCAGCGCCACCAGCAGCGCCAGCAGCAGCAGCAGCAACAGCTGCAGCAGCGGCATCGGCAGCCGATCCGGCCGGACCAGTTCGCCACAGACCAGCGCGCATGTCTCGGGCTATGCCGACTACGCTGCCGTCGCGTTCTATTCGGCCGCCGCGGCCGCGGCCGCTGCCGCCGCCGTCGGCGACGTCGACGCCAACGCCAACGCCAACGACAACGACAACGACAACCTGAGCGGCGAAGCGGACTGCATACGAAGTAGTGGCGGCGGTGATGGCGCTGCTGGCACACTTCAGCCTCCGCCTCAGCTCTACGGCCTCTCGGGCTATTCGAGCCTGTCGCGCAGTCCCAACGCTTCCGGCGAGGCCTGCCTCGACTCCGGCCCCCCCCTCCCGCCCGCCAGCGTGGCTGCAGCCGCCGCCGCCTCCTCCCTATCCCTCCTCCACTCCGCCTACTACCAGCACAGCTCTAGCATGGCAGCCGCCTATCAACACCATTACAGTCAGTATGCCCTTGACAACCAGCGTAACGACGCCCTTGCGCCGCTTCAGTCACCCCACTCGGCTCAGCAACAGCAACAGCAACAGCAACATCAATCGCAAAAACAGCCCCACCATCATCACCGGCACCAGCATCAGCACCAACAGGCCGAGAACATCCGATCTCAGCCGCAGCCTCCGCCTGATCACCACTTCCAGTCTCATCTCAGCCAGAACCATCAACGCCAACGGCATCAGCAACAACAAACACAAGCACAACCTCAGCAACACCACCCCCATCAACAACAACAACAACAACAGCAGCAGAGGCACCAACAACGGCACCAGCCAGCGCAGCGATACGAACCGGAAGGCCAGTCGTCAACCCCGGGAGGCCTGCAGTACGGTCCCCCGTTGACCGACTACGCCGCACCGGCCCACCCCACCGCAACGCACCAACACTGCGGCCAACCGACCAACAGCGGGCCAGCTTCGCCATCGGCTCTATCGACAGGCCGACAATCACAGACCACCGACACGTCACTCCCCCCACCACCCTTCCACATGTCGCACTACAGCCCTCGGCATGACAATTGCACACTAGCTCATCCATCCTCTCACCCACACCAGCCACACCATCCACAAGCCCTACCACCCCAACACCAACATACAGCCACCTACCTCGCGGTGAATGGACAAGCGGATCTCGTCGACCGACATCCCGGCCCCGGTTACTCGAATAGACTCACGACAAACGACCCCGTCGGCAGTCCACGACTTGACATTCGTGCGGCCGGGGGCCTGCTCACTTTGTTGCCAGGCGTAGGACACGCCGAAGCAAGATCGCGTAACCATGGCGGCCGGATGAGGGGTGGTGGTGGCCTCGTCGGCGCAGGTCGACTCAGAAGGGAGTCAAGTGAAGACGAGGTCGACGACGACGAAGACGCCGAAGAAGATGAGGAGGAAGATGAGGAGGAGGAAGAAGAAGAGGAGGGTGAGGAGGAGGAGGAGGAGGAAGAGGAGGAGGAGGATCAAGAAGAGGAAGAAGAGGAAGAAGAGGAAGAAGATGAAGAAGAAGAAGAGGAAGAAGGGAATGAGAAGCTGTTGGAGGTGGAGGCGGATGAGGAGGGTGAGGCTGCGCTCGACGTTCTCGGACTTCTCGAGGCCAGGAACCCTCTGCTGGCATCCAACTCCGCCTCAACCTCCGCTTCCCCCTCCCGCCCCCTTGGGCCCGACATGTCCATCCTCAGCGTGGCAGCCAGTTCGACCAACGTCGCCTCCACGACCCTCACCAACGCCACCGCCACCGTCTCAACGACTGGCGTCCTTCCCCTTGGCAACATGACCGACAACAGTTCCTCCATTTCCACCAGCCTTTTACTCTTACGCCCCTCCACCTCTGGCTCAGCCTCCTCATCCAACTCCCTTGACGACAATCGAATCGGTTGCCTCAATGAGCCCGTCTCACCGGTCCATCATCTCAACTCGGCCACCGGTACACACAATCTTGCCTCCGAATGTTCAGCCGCCACTTCGCCTCCCCTACCAGCCTCTCTCGCTCCTGAAGCCACCTCCAGTCCTCTGGTACCAAGTGAACAACCGCAACCACCGTCTCCTGGCGACTGTCTGACCAGTAGTCCACACCCAGCAAATCTGCCGCATCTGCACAACTCAGCCACGCCGACCGGCTTCTCTTTGGCCAGCAACTATGCCAACTACCTACAGTCGGCTGCAGCGGTTGCCATGGCAGCAGCTGCCTCCAACTACTCCGGAAAGTGGTAGTCAACGTTAATAAAGTAATCAGTCAGTCTCTCTTCGGCTCTCCTAATTGTCACCCAGGTCCGTCCAGCTTTTCAGCTCGAGATGAGACCCCTAAATCATGTTGCCTAGGCAACTGGACATCACAAATGAGCATATATTCACACTCATTCTAGCATCGATCTCTTTCAATCTCTTCAAAATCAACACATTCAAGGCCTGTCCGCAAGTGTGCAGAAGACAAATTTAACAGATCAACACAAGTTGACATTCTCTTATTTGAAAATTAAACCTAATTTCTGTTCATCTTCATAAACCCTCCTCCGAAAATGACCCGCTTTATACCATTTCTGGCTGCATGCGGCTATGAGAGACCAGAACATCGGGTTCCATGCTAAATTCTCCTTATACTTATACATTCTCTCACCCTCCTCTCCCTCTCCCTCACTCTCTCTCGCTCGCAAAAGTCGTGTACCTCCCCATGACCTCTTTATCTCTCACGTGACTACTCCAATTATAGAAGCAAATGATACCAACGAAACAGAGCTAAAAGGCCCTTTTGAGTCGCCCTCACTATCAGACCAGCTTGGATGCTTTGAATCAAACTCTAAGACCGCAACTTCAGAAAAATATGCACACGCAAGAAATGCAAACTTTTGTGCCTTGATACATATACATATTTATTACCTTTGTAATTTAAGAGAAAACTACTTCTAAGATGGCACAGCCTTCTCTTCATATTCGCAATAGTTGACTCAGGGTTTAACAGTCAGGCAATATTAATATACAGTTTTCCCATAATGACATGAGATGTCATTGAATTAAACAATTAAACTCGTCTCCCCCAAAACTATTTTTATTTCGGCTGGACTGGACTACAGTTTCCACCTCGTCTGGGGCTCATCGACGCTGCCAGCCGGAATCCTCTTTTTGCTGGACTATAGAGAAATGTTTACACCTACTCACTACGAATATGAGTAGTGCGGTCGATTTTAGCGGCAAATACCAATTGGTGAATGTGATCATGGGGCTTCGCGTTTCGTGCACAGTTTCGTCCCAGCTGTTCCATGTTTGTGTGATCTCATTATTTCCAGAATCTGTTGAGGGGGCTGTGAGACCCAGGCCAGGTCGAAACTGTGGAACATTCTCGATGAAAATAGTTCCTTTAAGGCAATGCTGCATGCTAAAAATGAAACTACCAGTTCTTGATGACCAATAAATCTAATATATACAGTAGTCTCAGAAACCTACTTATAAATAAAATATAAGTAACGTAACCGGATGCAATAGAAAATTCAACATTGTTTCATCTACAATCCCACCAAAGAATGTGCTACGAGAAACATGCCTGGACCTCACAGCTGTCCTGTAACCTCAGGACGCTCATAGAATTGTCGCTTAGTCGTCAAAGTGTCTATCATACACGGCACTGCCATTGTTCGAGTCCCGCTAAGAAGGTTGGTAAAACCCAGGCGAGGTCAAAACTGCAGTCCACTTTTGGGAAAGCCAGGTTGTGTGAACTTTAATGCTAAAATAGGGTCTACAAATTTAATTATGGGTCCATTTATCACCTTGAACGGAATAGAATGAGTGTATCTTTTATACATGATCGACTGGTAGCCTCGAAAACTTGCTTATAAACCAACAATAAGAAGAAGGAAGATATTGCTACACCTGCAACGAGCGCAACATAGAAGTGTTTAGACAAGTTCACAGACTCGTGTAAGGATGGATGATAAACGAATTCATTCATCAAGAATTATCCATCAAAGTGGAAGTAATATACGATGTATTCACCCAATTTCGTTTAAGGTGATGAAGGCCTGGTAGAAGAATCTGCCCACAATGACATGAGTAGAGCTGACGCTTCCTAACTTTTTGGAAAACGAAGCTATGTGAAGTGGGTTGACCTCGTTGTCGCAACTTGGTCTTGTTGTCAGGGCGACTTAGTAGAACGCATCTAGTCCGAATTTTGATGATTGGCATGTAAACAAATGAGAAATTGTAATGAGATAAAAGGGTAAAGAGTAGATAGATAGGCCAGGACAGCAAGAGGAGTGATAGCGTATACGTTTTCGGTAGAACGTTTGTCGAGGGATTGGCTTCACGGGTTATTAATTTGGTGCGGATATTGGCAAAACTCACTGATGATGCCGATTATGATGCCGGCGAAACGTTTGAGAATGTACCAAGTCCACTGTCTGAT